CTCATGCTGGTTGCTTCCTACACACGGTAGCCCATGGCAACCCACTGCCACAGGGGCTGCAGCCTACGCTGTCGCCAGTGACTCATGGAGGCCCAGCTCCAGGTTGAACTGTTGCCCAGCATCTTAGCTGTGGAGGGCAGTGTCACTGGCCATCATATGTGGGATCAGAACCGGGGCCTTCTGGCATCCCAAGCCAGTTCTTAACCATCGCGCCACTCGGCCGGCCCTATTTCACTTTTGAATACGTCTAGTGTTGCAAGGACCTCTACCTATGCTAAGTGACAAAGACGCCACAGAAATTCCTTTTAAAAAAACACTGTTAACATGCTAGGAAGTGCAGAGATCCATGTGCTACGGGTTTGGAGAGAAGATTAATGGAAATGATGGTTAAGTGAAAAGACATAATAGAGGATATTTTAATTTTAACTGAGATACATTGTAGTCATTTAATTTCTATTTCCTCTAGGTCATACATTTCTCCTCAATTCTGGTCAAGTGATTGAAAGTATTAGAAAAAGACATCAAAATGAATTTGATTCTAGACACATTTAGTTGATTAACTGACTCGCACAAGAGGCATTCAAATCTATCTTTAAAGACAAAACTTTAACCTCCAAGCATTTACTATTGCGTAAATGAGTTTCAGATCTCTTTTTTGAGAAAAGATTCTGCGAGGGACAAATACTGAGAAGGAGAGTGGGGAGAGAGGGGAGTACCTTAGGGTTCAGGTAAGGGAGGAAGGAGAAGAGACAAATTGAACCCACTCTGTCGATTTTCCTAAGTCCAGGTCTGAGACTTATTGTCATGCTGAACAGAACACATCAAAAATCCCTGTACCACCTCCTGCAGGATTGGCTCCGGTAGCCAATAATATGCAAATTAATCACCTTAAAGAGTATTTCCACAGAAAGACTAGTACATGTTTCAGTTGATTTTTGCCACTTGTTTCGATTACATGTAAATCCTATTTCTCCACGAAAGTGCTGAGCACAGGGCTGGCTGCAGTTGGAAGAAGCGATGCAGGGTCCATGGCATTTCTCTGAAAGGGAAAAGAGAGAGAGAGAGAAAAGCCAAGTTAGCAGTCCCACACACTGACTGGGGCATCTAACTCATTCTGGAGATTTGGGGTTGCTTCCAGTGGTGGTAACGTTGACCTGTGTCCTGAGCAATAAGTAAGGCTGGCGAGGCAGACAGTGAAGCTGATGTCTAGGCAGAATGACCAGTATGTGGGAAGGAGGGATCACAGGTCATTCAGGGCCGGCTGAGTGGCATGGTGGTTAAGAACTGGCTTGGGATGCCAGAGGGCCCCAGTTCAGATCCCACATATGAGGGCCAGTGACACTGCCCTCTACAGCTAAGAGGCTGAACAACAGCTCAACCTGGAGCTGGGCTGCCATGAGTCACCGGCAACGGCGTAGGCTGCAGCTCCTGCTGCAGTGGGCTGTCATGGGCTACCACTTTCTATGAAGTCGCCACCACAAACAGTGAATTAGCAAATTCTGAACCATCATTCCTAAGGGAAATACAAGGTTAGGTTCCTGGAAGCTTGTGCTTACATTTTCATTAATAGATCAATATCAATACATACAGAGGGTGCCAAAAAAATGTATACACATTTTAAGAAACGAAAACTGTATCAAAATTGTAATAGTCAATATATACTGATAACAAAAGATGACTACAAGTCCCATTTGACTTCTGCAATTACAAGAGCTGCCCGAACTGGTTACCATCAGCGTCCAGACACTTCCGATTATGGCAAACTGCTGCTTGAGCAACGTTGACCAAAGTGTCCACTTGTATACATTTTTTGGTACCCCCCCAATATATTTGTTATATGTGTGCTTCTATTTAAAGACACCTTATATAAATGGAAAGAAATAAATGGTGCTGAGAGCTATTAAGCAGTTGAAATCAATAAGATGTGGTGACCAATTATTGTGAGTCAAGGAATGCACCCATACTTATGACTTGGACAGCTCAGTGGATGATTCCATTCACAGGGAAAGGAAACAAATGAGTTTACATCTTGTTTGCCGTTTACCCAGTGCGTCAATTTGGCAAGTTGATGCACTTAGATCATAAATGTTCAATAAAAGTTAGCTCCCTTTCTCGCTTCTTTCCTTTCTCTATTCCACATCTATGTAGAAATTTATCTGCCACCAAAAAATATACTCGGCATGACTGTGCAGAACCCAGGTAGTCTTACTATTTGGGTGAGAACCACATGATTTCACTATCTTACTACAAATAATTATCTCGGTAGTTTTTTTTTTTTTAATTCTCAAGAGTGACCAGTCTGGCCAATATGAATCCTATCTGACATCACTTCAATAGACTTCTCATCATCAAAGCATTACGTACATTTAAGTCACCCGAAATATATTTGAATGAAGGAATGGATGAATCCTGTTCTCTTCCCCCCACCCACCCTTTCTGCCTCTCGTTTGCTCATTAATTTGAAATTTCCCTTTTGGATTTTGAAATGAACACTTATCTACTGTTCTAGAACATGTGACTACTTCCCAACTTGCTTCTTGACTATGCCATGGATAATGATACACTTGTAAAAAAAAATCTTTCAATCCTGGTAAGCATTGAGAACTTATTAGAGATCACTATTCTATTTGAAACCATGTGGTCTGGGGACATGCTTCCCATATCAATATCCTCCCTTTTTTGCCCAGTCTCCAAATGGAAGAAGTCTGTCCTGTAGGCACATACCTTGTATCCTTTCAGTCTTGGGTTTCCCTTCAGGACGTTGAAATTTAGTTCCATCCTGTAAAACATAAATCCCCAAAGGTCCTCTTTACTGTGGGACTCTCCTCTCTCATCTCAACTTAGAGGCTCCATGTAGGCATGAAGAGAAAATGTGTTCAGGACTAGGAAGAAGATGCAGCAGGTCCGTGTGCTGACATTGCAGGAACTTGCTGAAGGAAACATGGACGTGAGCACGGAAGGAGAGCACTGCCCTCCAATGAGGGCTAGAACCTTGACAGTGGTCACTGGGCTCTGCAGGTCAGGTTAATGGATTGGGTACATCTTTTGGGAAGTTTAAGCATCCAGGGAGAACACAGAGATGACAATGGTAGAACTAAGCTGTTCTCTTCCTGTATTAGCTGTAACTGTGAAATGGAGCTAATATGGTCTACCAGGTACCATGTAACCTCATAAAGGAAGGAATGAGCAGATACTAGGAATAAGTGTTAGGTTGCAATAATAGATTCACAAACTCCTTTATAGCTCTAAAGGCCTGTGAAGATTATCTAAAAGGAGAAAAAAAAACACCTTTCATGTTATAGATGAGGAAATTAAGACTCAGAGAAATGAACCAACTTGTGCAACTAATGAGAACTGAAGTTAAGCTCTGAACCTAAATTGTTCAAC